CCCCGTGGCTGGGACTTTGCGGACCCCGAATTAGCGCCTGGGCCCCGAGGTTTCTTGCACCGAAAGAGGAAGGAGACGGAAAGCGAAAGCGAAAGGGGGAAACTGAGGCATTTTCAGAGCTGAATTCACAAATGGCAGCAAAGAGTATAAGAAAAAAAGACGCTTTTTGGCAAAAGTGTTTTTGCAACCTCAGTTTTTCTTCTGAATCTCCATTTGTTTTTTAAGGGGAGGGAAGAGTTGAGCTTGGATTCCTTCTTGGGGGAGACTCTGAGGCTCCCATTGGTCCCTCCGCTTTCCTGGGCCCTCCCAGGTCTGAAGTTCGAGGGAAACGCCTCCTCCCCCCAATCCAGACCCATCTATTCCGCCTCTGGGGCTGGGAGCCTCCGCGTCTCTCTCCCCTCTCTTGGGGGGCGCTGGTGGGGCGGCATCCATGGGCTCCGCTGGGCTCCCCCTGACGGTGCTGCTGGTGGTGGGGGCGCTCGACCGGATCCCCGGAAGCGAAGGGGGAAGGAGACTCCCGGTAAGGAGGGGGCTGGGGGGGAGGAGGAGGAGGTTGTGAGGGGCCGTCACTGCCTGGGAGGGGAGAGAAAGAAAGGGGCTGGGACCCTAGAAGTAGGGAAAGGGGTGCAGGGCAACAGAGACGGGAGCCTCGATCTCCGCGTGGTCTCCGCCCCCTCCGTCAGGAGGACGGAGAGGGGTCGCGGGAAGGTAACCTAGGTGGGATAAGAGACAGCCGGGTCCCTCTCTGTCCCCCCCGTGGCTGGGTGGGAGGGGGACCTTGCGCACCCCGAATTAGCGCCTGAGCCCCGAGGTTTCTTGCAACGAAAGAGGAAGGAGACGGAAAGCGAAAGTGAAAGGGGGAAACTGAGGCACTGAATCCACAAAGGCCACCAAAAAGTTTTTTTGCAATTTCAGTTTTTCTTCTGACTCTCCATTTTTTTTTCAAGGTGAGGGAAGAGTTGAGCTTCCTTTTCTTCTTGGGGGAGACTCTGAATTTGGGGAAGAGACGGAGAACCCCCCACCCCACATTCCCCCATTGCTGAATCGGGACCTGGAGGGGAGGGGGGAACTGAGGGAGAAGGATATTGGGTGGGGTCTGAATTGCCCCCCTAAATTGGCTGCCCAAAACGATTTCTTTGGTGAGGGGGGCTGGAGACCCTCCCCTTGAGGTGGTCTTGAGGGGCTTCAGGGTGACAGGAAAGAGGGCTGAATCCCCAAATCACGCAAAGGCAGCCAGTAGGAGTTAATTTGGTGGGAAGGAAAATTTGGGGGTAACTAGGGAATCTGGGGGTTCCCTTCTCCCCAAGATCCCCAGACCCCCAAGCCATCTAGGTCAAAATTGAGCAGCCCTCCCTCAACGGGGGGAGGGAAAGGACCCCCCATCTCCTGCCTACAACGGGGTTCTTTCAGCAGCCCCAGGAAGGCTCTCCTTAAGGGAGCTTAAAGGGGCATCTAGACCAACCCTTCCAGGCACAGTGAAAAAGGGAGACTCGCACTGAGTGTCATGGGGGGGCACAAAAGGAAGTCCACACACCCCCTCCAGTCCTGGCATGAAACGCCCCCCTGAAGTTGCAGCCCCCAAGACTGAAAATCTTCCCCTCCCTCCTCCGCTTCTATTGGGAGGGATACTGGGGGGGGGTCTGAGTTGCTCCTCTAAACTCCCCCTTTAATGAAGGGGGCTGGAGCCCCTCCCTTTGAGGTGGTCTTGGGGGGCTGCAGGGGGGAGTTTTGGGGAGGGGGACAGAAAAGAGGCCTCAAACAGCATCCAAAGGCAGCTTGTAGGGCTGAAGATGGGGGGAGGAAGGGAAGGTGGGGCTTGAAGGGTGGGGAGAGCCCAGGAGCATGGGTGTGGGTATCCTTGTGGTGAGCCCCTTCCCTTCAGCTCCCAAAAGGAAGAGGGAGAGAGAAGCTTGGATATTACTTTCCCTGCACCCCATATTTCCTGCCGGTTTGGGGAGGGGGGAATCCAGCGTTCCCTGCAGACAGACGGAGGCCTGGACCGGCTGAACTTCTGCCTGCCTTTTTCCACCCTGGGGAGATGGAGGAGGGTCCCTCGGGAAGCTCTTTCCCCCCTCCCTCATTTTCCTCCCCCCCCTCCAGACCCCCACCAAGGGGGAATCCCGCTGGGACCGACGGTTCCCCATCCCTCCTCCAGGGGGCGCCTTCCGGCAGCCCCTCGCAGCAGGTCTCCTGTCACTCCGCCTTCCCGTCGCTCCGCCCCTCCTCTAGTAGCCACTGGGAACCATGGGCCCTGGAGTCCCTCCTGAGGTCTTTCTTCTTTCTGCTCCACACACCCCCCCCCCGCAGCCCATTTCCTGGCCCAGCAGAAGTCCGAGTGCCATTTCTTCAACGGGACGCAGCGGGTGAGGTTCCTGGACCGGTACATCTACGACCGGCAGGAGATGGACTACTACGACAGCGACCTCGGGAAATACGTGGCCGTCACTCCGTTGGGGCAGCCTGATGTGGACAAGTGGAACAGCGATAAGGTCTACCTGCAGTACCAGAAGGCCTCCGTGGATTCCTTCTGCCGACACAACTACGAGGGTCTCCAGAGCAATTCTGTGGTTGGCCGGAGAGGTGAGTGGGGGAGGGGGAGTTCCATGGGGGGGGAATGCAGGGACCCCCCTTTTCATTTCATTTATTAGGACTCTCCCGGATAAAGATTTGCCCCTTATGCATTCTCTGCTCTCCGATCTATGAAATTTATTCATTGGTATTTCTTGCTATTTATTGATACTCCTAATCCCTTCACCTCCCTCCAAGCGGGGATCTGGATGGCATAGGATATAACATCACCACTAAATAAAAATGTATAAAAAATAAGGTTAAAAAATAAATTACCTTTAAAAAGTTTGAAATTCTACAAGGATGACAATGAAACATGCCAAAGGGAAGAAATAGATTCCCCTCCTTCCCATCAGTCCCATCAACTTCCTTCTCTTCCCAGGGTCCAAAGTTTCCCCTGCCCCAAAAAACCTCTTTCCAGAATATTATACCAAATATTATATTTTTTCTGGGGCGGGGAGGAATCCAGCAAGGTCTCTCTCTTGCCCAGTATATAGATATATTTCAATAATAATCTATACTATATGCTATATAATATTTCAATATAATATTTTTATTAAATATTTATTGATTTACTTATC